GGATACGTTGGCGGTTCATTCCGCTGTGGTGACCCCAAATTAATAAAGGGACTATGCCGAAAAGAAAATGAATGAATGAATGAACATCTCAAGCAGAGGGGAGAAATGTGTTTTTTAAATGTGTGTAATCTGGACGGAGTGTAATAAAGCTGCTGTAAGAAGTTAAACTGGATTAGTCTAAATCTGGAGTTCAAAGTTGAGCTAACCCCATCTCTACATAACTGACCCCATAGGTCATTTTCCAGCGTTATCCCCAAATCCTGTTCCCATCTAGTTTTAGACTTATCTGGATCAGGCAAAGGTTGTCTTAGCATCAAAGCATCATATGTTCTAGAAGAAGTCTTCATCTTAAGTACAACTGACACACACACAAATAAAATTAGAAAACAGGCCACTGTCTTATTTTTCAGTCAAACACAGGAACTTAAGATATGGAATTATTATGGACCTGTATTATTTAGTACTTTCTTTAAAGTTACAGTGCACTGATTATTTTCTGAGGCAATATACTGATTATTATATCTAATATAGGCAATTATTCAGAGGGAGTATTTAGAGTGAATCTACTGAAACAAAAAGTGCCTTGTACAGATTTTTATTAGAACTATTGAAATCGCAAATTGCAATAATTGTATATTTGTGTTCATTTATGGACATATAAAATTAAATATAACATATAAACATATTTGTACATGTTGTATTTCAAACAGTTGAAACATACACAAATGGACCTTTTTTCAATGTTTTAAAGTCTGTTGCATATATAATAAATAATTTATATATGTGAAACTGAACTTGTCATATATGTAATTTGCATATATTTCCATAGATCAGACCTCCATAAGGAAAAACCACATCAATAATTCATTTATTCATTTATTTCAATCTCGGGTCTGGTGCCCATTTTAATAAACCCCATTTTTAAACTGGCTGTTTAAAAATGTATCCTCAAATAAAGATTGACCAGTCACACTGAGAACAGAAAAAAACCACGTTCTCAGTTTCTCTCCATTTTATCTCCTTCATCTGTGATCGCATGTGCTTATCTGAGTCATCTTTATAATTCACCTACTCCCACATCACATCATTCGTGAGACAGCACGCAAGAGCTAGAAATCTGACATCAATCTGCTAGCACAAAGGTGATAGCCAAATGTACCTTTCTAATTTTAAAACATCACAGGCAAGCTCATCTAAATTAAGGATTTGACAGATTCTCACAAGCATCCAAGTTCTTTGAATTCAATAATGAATCAGTGTTTGAAGGCAGAGAGTGAACTTGATGTTTGTAAGTTCAGGTAATCAGAACTGTGTAATATTTCACATTTTATCTGTTGTGACTAAAACACTTTGTTGTATTTTGTGTTTACAACAGTGTGGTTCTGGTATCGTTTTCTGAATTGGATTTGACAGATTTGTATAACTTTTTCAAGTTCTTTGCGTTCAATAATGAATGAGCGTTTGAAGGCACAGTGTGAACTTGATGTTTGTAAGTTCGGGTATTCAGAACTGTGTAATATTTCATGTTTCATCTGACGTGATGAAAACACTCTGACAGCATCTGTGTTGTATTTTGCATTCACAACTGTGTGATTCCAGTATCCTTTTTCTGAATTGGCCTTTGAAGTTCCTGGCTTTTGCGAACCTTAGATGTTTGTATTCTTAGCTGTCCTGGATTTTGTAGAAAACCATCTGCAAAGAGTTCCAGATCAAACCTCCAATCAACATCAGTCGGTAATAAACTTATGAGAGTCTGTCATGAAGTTGCAACATAGACCCGGCAACACATGGGGAGAAAAGGGGGCACAGAGGGGCTGAAACCCTGGAGAGCAGCTAATGATTCACATTTCATACCCCCCCCCCCCACACACACAGGGGCCCTTGTGTCTGCCATGAGGGGCCTCTTCGAGGGTTTGTTTTCACTGTGCAATCCAAAATAAATGGAAGCCACAGATGAAGACTGGACACTTGAGAAATTGAAATCATCAAGTCCGTAAGAAAAACACTCATATCTCGGTCTGTTGCTCATTATGTGTGTGTTCCCTTCTTGATCTCATTGGCTGTGCGGTGAGAAACAGGTGAGATATATTGTGTTTATAGTCAGTAACACAGCCCTTTATTTTTGCACAGTTAGTTTCTGGTCATGCATGTCACCGTAGATAAAAGGTCATGACATACGTTGGTTCTTGTGTGTTTAACAAGTTCAGCTTGTGCAAGCTCAGAGTTGGTATAAAATGAATGTCACTCTCTTTGTGCATATTTTCAGTGATTCATGCTGTTGATTTGTACAAAAACTGCAGGTGTAATGACAACTCTTGTCTTATGTCCAACAATTTTCCACTCCAGCTTTTCTTTTAGGCACAATTTTCAATAGGCACGATTGCAGAAATAGAGATGTTTTTTAAAATTATATTTAGAATTGTTCAATTATTTAAATGTATTAATCTTCTAATAATTAATTAAATGGGCGATGCAGTGGCACAGTAGGTAGTGCTGTTGCCTCACAGCAAGAAGGTCGCTGGGTCGCTGGTTCGAGCCTTGGCTCAGTTGTCGTTTCTGTGTTGAGTTTGCAGGTAGTCCCGTTCGCGTGGGTTTCCTCCGGGTGCTCCGGTTTCCCCCAAAGTTAGTACAGGTGAATTGGGTAGGCTAAATTATTCGTAGTGTATGAAAGTGTGTGTGAATGAGTGTAAGATGGGTTGGGGCTGGAAGGGCATCCGCTGCGTAAAAACGTGCTGGATAAGTTGGTGGTTCATTCCGCTGTGGTAAACCCGGATTAATAAAGGGACTAAGCCGACAAGAAAATGAATGAATAATTAATTAAATATTAGTAAAAAATTTTATACTTTATTTGTTCATTCATTCTTTTTAATTATCCAGCATATGTACCTGTATTACACAGCGGATGTCCTTCCCGCTGCAACCCAGTACTGGGAAACATCCATAAACACTCATTCACACACTTACATTATTTAGTTTATTCAATTCACCTGTAGTGCATGTCTTTGAACTGTGGGGGAAATCGGAGCACCCGGAGGAAGACCACACACACACATGGAAGAACAATGCAAACTCCACACAGAATTGCCAACTGGTCCAGCCGAAGCTCGAACCAGTGACCTTCTTGCTGTGAGGCGACAGTGCTAACCTCTGAGCCCCTGTGTGGTCCCTTGCAATGATTGATTGTTTCATTAATTTCATTTATTTCTTGTACGCTTTTCTGCTGTCGTGGGGGCAGCAGTCTTTGGAGAGAACCCAGACTTCCCTCTCCCCAGACACTTCCTCCAGCTCCTCGAATAATGAAAGGTCCCGAGTCATTCCCTGGCCAGCTGAGAGACATAGTCCCTGGGTCTTCCCTGAGGCCTCCTCCAGGTGGGACATGCCTAGAACACTTCCCTATATAGGCGTCCTGTAGGCATCCGAAACAGATGCCCAAACCACCTCAGCTGACTTCTCTCAATGTGGAGGAGCAGCGGCTCTACTCAGAGCTCCTCCCGGGTGACAGAGCTCCTCACCCTAAGGGTGCGTTTTGACACCCTGCGAAAGAAACTAATTTTAGCTGCTTGTCCTTTCAGTCCAAAAGCTCATGACCATGGGTGAAGGTAGGAACGTAGATTGACCGGTAAATCAAAAGCTTTGGCTTTTGGCTCAGCTCCTTTCATTAAAAATGTAAATGATGTTAAGAAACTGAGCATTATTTACAACATAAATAGAAACGATGACAATCTATGTATATTTTGCCTCTGTAATAATTTTTTTTTACTCTCAAAGTGCTGGTGATCATGGATTCAGCTAAAAATCTGTATTGTTAAGACGAAAAAACGTTACTTGAATGAGTAAATTAAGAGCAAATTTTCTTTTTTTTCAGGGTGAGCCATGCCTTTTAAAACTGAGACACTCTTTATCAGAGATTTAAAAATTGGTCAAAGTTGGCCCATGGTAACCTTTGATCTGGCCCATCACCCCATCTGAAAAAAAGAGGGAGATTGCTTTAGAGATTGTTATTTCAAATTTAATGCAACCTTTTATTTGTTTGTTTTACTGTTAAGCTACAAAAAAGCAAACTGGAATTAAATGTTTTAATTTAAATGCTCTAATTTAGTTTAAAATGTACAAACAGTCACTCGATGAATAGAAGACAATGCAGAGGCTTTGGTGACCAAATCAGGGCAAAGGCAGATTCTGCTTGACCTGTGTATTCAGTATTGAACTCCACTCTGTTATAGACGTGATTGTTTATGTTTTTGTTGCAATAAAATATTTATTTAGAAAAAGCTACTGCATTAGTTAATATGATTCAAATTGATTCTTAAATATAATGAAATAAATGTGGAAATTACCCATGGCAACATTAAAGTAAATTAGTTTGTGATAGCCTATTTATCTTTGGCCCACGGTTCTCAATGATATTCCGTTTTTGGCCCTTCATACGAAAAAGTTTGGGCACCCCTGCTTTATATTGTATCACTTGTAGCTATGTGAGGCTGGCTGCAGTGACAAACTTGTTGCACTCTGAGATGCTTGAAGACAGATTTAAATCTGTGGCTGTGAACATTTCATTCTTAATCATTCCCATGCATTGCTTTGAGGTGTCAAAGCACAGAATAAAGTAAGCGCATGCATGTATATTCCAGTATGGAGGTGTCCCAAGTTGAACTTGACTTTGTAGCCCAGCTCAACGCACACTCCTCAGCGCCGTTGAGGTATAGCAGAGTCATTCAGTCATCGAGTCAGTCTTTCACTGCTGCTTTCTCTCACCTCGACAGGCACACAGTCTTAATTACGTTTGGCAATCGGAGAGCAGTGTAGTAGTATTACTCCATCCGTGCCGATTATTTCTGGCGAGACTTTTAAATCGAAAACCGCGGTGATTGGACGGCGCAGTCACGGGGTCCGCAGTCTCTTCGCCCTGCCTAGAGTCAGTCATTCAGTCGGGGGAAGGCGAGTCTGCCTGCAAGCGCTTCTCTCAGTGTGGATCCACCATACACACACATACACGCTCACACGGACCTTTACGCACAATTATTGTTAATTACGGAACCCGTTTCGGTCTTCTGGGAGTCTATTTTTCCACAATGGGCGACAAAAAGAGCCCGACCAGGTAAGAAAGCGTCAACAGTCGGTAGTTTCTGAGGCGATTTTGGTGTCCGCGCGGCTGTTTTTTCGCTCGGTGGATATTCGGATGCTTTTCTCGAGGAGTGTTTCTCCTTTCTCTCAGAAACAAGCGCAGCTATGGCGGCTTTCTCTTCTTTACAGAGGACTCTAAACACGACTCAGTGCCTCTCAGACAAAGAGATTTTTCTCCTACGGGATACGCCTGGCCTCTTCGGACGGGGTTTTTAATCGAAGTTAGCCGTTAAACGGACGTTTTTTGACATTCGATTTCACGCCGTTCACCGACGCGATATCTTTAGCTCTCTGGCTAACGCTAGCTGCCGTGCCAGCGGACACCAATCTAGACCCTTTAAGTGAATTACATGTCTCTGGTGACTAGAAGCTGTGGAGAATAACCGTGGCTAGTTAGCTGGTTAGCGTGCGTTTCCAGTATTTTCCGGTTCTAATAAACCGTCCTCGCGCGTCATGTGTCGGATTTTCTGTCACTTTCTGTGCCACTTCGCTTCGGTTAAACGCATTCGAGTCGACGGATGTTAGGGGGCAAACGTGAAAGTTGACCTTAATAATTTGAGCTTCTCTTGTCATTAAAGGCCAAAAAGACAAGCCAAACCGACAGCGGACAACGGATTTTGGGACTGTAGCGTGTGCACTTTCAGAAACAGTGCCGAAGCCTTCAAATGCAGCATCTGTGATGTACGGAAGGGCACGTCTACCAGGTATGGGCATTTACAATGGACTTATGCAGCATTGCATTCCTGATCTCATCACTAATGCTGTCGATTTGGACGCTTTACTTGTTGATTTGCTGTTTAAGATTCATAGAAACACCAGTCGTCTCATGCAAGTGAAATGTCATTTGTTCAGTCTGATGACTGGCGCTAAATTGAGTGTGGCAGACAGCCTGTGCAGTCACTGCAGTGGAAGGCAAACTTTCTTTGTCTTTCATTAGCTTGAGCGCATTTTATTGCATTGGATTTGCGTTCTAATGCTTTCACTGCAGCTCCATGATCGTGCATGCTTGCAGACGCATACCTGCTAATGCAGTGCTGCAGTGTTTGCATGTTGTGGCTCCAGCCAGATTTCCCATTGAAAGCTGTATGGCTGGCATGTGTCTGTTTTAATCAAATGTATTTAATGTCTGGGTGTGTTTTAAGCTGTCAAACTGTTACAGATACCTTTGGTGTTAAGATCCATAACAGGAAACTGATTTTCTCGGGTTTTTCCTGCATGTTAGAGCGGTTGCAACAGTTTAAAGGTCATTGTGGTGTCAGAAATTCTTAATCAGTCTTCATGATGTGTCATTTGTTTTGACACACAAGCAAGTGAAACGACTCTGCTTCATTTTACAATTATACTAACATGCTGCTCATTTGTATTAAAGCTAAGGGCAAAGAAGCAGAGTTAATGTTGTTTTTCTGGTTTGTCTAATTGGATGATTTCACTGCTCCAATTTCTGAGTGATTCAGTTGGAAGCCGTCACTAACAGGTCTAGGTTTTTCTTGTCCTTTCATAAAGGTCATTTAACCCAGTGGTTCTCATTCTTTGCTCTAGACATGTTGGTTGGAGGTCACCCTTGATTGACCCCCCCCCCCCCCCCCCCCTTCTCTCACCAGTTTAGAATGCCCGGCTGCTTTCTGAAAGTGGCAAAGATGCATTATTTGCTACAGATTAAACCCCGCAAATTATTTTTTCTGTTGTTGAACAATAATTATCCTGAGGAACAGCCATAGCACTTTAACATGATCTGTTCTGAAGACTTTTATTTCCCCAAATTGGAGCCCCAGAACCTTATCCACCCTACATAACATATACATAATCTGCATGGTCTGTTTAACCTTTTGATGCACAACATGGGTCTAAAGTGACCCGGCTAAGTTTATTTTTTACTATATCTTTGCAAGATTTTAACTTAACTTAGTATTCCCAGAATTCCTCAAAGCCTTTTAATTTTAATTTATTTTTTACATTTTGAATATAAATCATTACCACTGTCACTATCCTCTTAATACACACCATGGGTCTAAAATGACCCATATTATTTTCCTATGTTATTTCTATCAAATATCTAGTTTTAAACTGTTTTTAAACATCAAATTTTAATATAAGTGTCAAAAATGACCCATATAGGAACTTTTGCATTTTTCTAATTTCTGCAAAAAGGAACACATTAACTGCTAAATACTGTTCACCGGCACACGTTTACAGCTAAACATGGCTGAATTGTTCTATTTGATGCTTACATATTTTACATTTTTAAATATATATTTTGTGATAGATAGATAGATAGATAGATAGATAGATAGATAGATAGATAGATAGATAGATAGATAGATAGATAGATAGATAGAAGGAAGGCAATAACATAATGAATATGGGTCACTTTAGTCCCATGTTGTGCATGAGAAGGTGTTTTTTTGCATCAAAGGGTTAAATGTGTTTGCTAGCTAAAGTTTAATTTTCAGAATGTTTGCAGGGCAAGCTGATTTTCACTACTATAATTAATTTTATGTTGACCTGATTTTTTTTTTTTTCAAATTCATGTCACACCAGCTTGTTCTTTGATTTTTCTTAAAGTGTGACAGGGTTTTAATTCCAGCTGTTGAATTTGACAGTTTTGGCCCTCCTAGTAATGTGATCTACTGCTTTTTGCAAGTTAGTATTCTGAAATGTTATAAATAAGAGAGATGTTGGATTACTTCAGGATTGTAAAGCCCTGATTGAGTCAAATAAATGTGTGGTTTGCCGATAATGCCACCGTGGTTGTATTCCTGTAAGCAAATGAAGGTATGCACGTATGTTTTACGTCCGTCTGGACTCGGCTGTGTTTGTTATGATGTGTGAACCCGCCAACACTTCTCATCAGCTGACTGATGTGGTGTCTACAGCTATGAGTAATATGCGGCTGCACACAGTAATCCCGTGCTCTAACCTTTTCATCTGCTCTTTTACACCCAGTGCTTTTCTGACATTTGGGGGAAAGAAGAGGTGTCGGGAGAAGTCAGACACTTCAAAATGGTGTATTTGTCAATAATGATTAGTCAGTTTATTCCCTTCGAACCGGCACAGCGCTCATGGATCTGTTTGCAGAAAGCAGGCGCGTTTTGTTTCGTGGTAATGACAGGAAATGAAGCCATGTGTCGGAAACCCCTCGTCTCTTACTTGCTGGCAGCAGCCCAGCTCCTATCAGGCTGCTGAATAGAAATCGCACTATATTGCTGAAGAGAGCCGCTCTGTCTCTGTTTGATCTGCGCTGTCAAGCTTTGATGGATGCGATTGTTTGCTGATGTAAGAAGCCTGTCTCCCTTTGTAATGAGGACTAATTAGCCATCTTGTCCACGTTTGATGTATTCCAGTGGTGCACGGGAGGGAGCTCAGGGTGCTTGCAGAGAAACGATGCACTCTCTTACAAGTGTGCAGCGGTTTATGCTCCCATCTCAGCACCTTTTATCTCTGTTTCCCTCCATGAACGAGTCTTTGTGGTGTGATAACGCATTCCACTCACCAATTACTTTATCTTTGTTGGTCTATAGGGTTCAAAGCATGCGGCAACCCCCTGTGCAAGGATGCTTGTAGATTAGCAATGCATTTTTTTGTCATGTAAAGAAGGTCTGAATGTTTTCGTAGCTTAATCTGATATCTGAACCTATTGAATTCAGGAAGATCGATTTATTTCATGCTGCGTGAACTTGCCGTGTAGTGTTTGTAGACTTTTTAAATGAGGTTTAAAAGCGACTTTTTAGGGAAAATGTCAATTAAGCATGACCGTGTCTTTTGCATGATTGACTGACTAATAGATTGCACAAAGGTTTGCATGTTCACTTAATGGCCTTTTACACCTGTTAGAAAGATGTATTTTAATGTTAATTCAGTCATAAGTGAAACAACAGGTGATAACTGGAACATTTTGCACTTTCAAAGGTAGTTCACAGCCACAAAACATCACTTACTTTATGCCTACTGACTATATTCTTAAACTTAGCGGGACATGTTAAAATCAGCTAGCCAGATTTCATTTTCTCTTCTAAAATTATAAGTTTGTACTGTATAGGGTTGCACGGTTTACTGGTGTGGTAGTATCGCGATACTATGGCTTCTAAATATTGGCAGTGCCACTGAAGTTTGCAAACGGTAGTATCATCATTATTAATTTATCCACAATAGATGTTGCATGTGTAAAAGTCACTAAAGTGCTTATAAGTTTGTGCAACAATAGACTATTTTATTTTAATAGTCCATGGAGCCCTTTAAGGTTGCAAAACTGTGCCTTTGCACATTTTCCAATGCTTCAATTCAAACATACATCTGAAACGGTTAATTTCTGTTCCTGTTAATATTATTTAGTAGCTACAACAACAGGTACAATCTCTTTAAAAGAACTACTCCCAAAGTGAAATTTTCAATTACTTTGGATTGTTGCCTGATAAGACTGAGAAAAATTTATGAAAAACCCAAAATAGCAACAGGAAACATTGAAACAATTTTTGACCACTTTATATAGCCTAATTTTGTTGGAAAATGCCCTTTTCTAACATTTAATTCTGTATTGTTTGTATCTTTATTTTAATATATTATTTGATGTTCGTGTTAAAATACAAAAAAAGAATGAATACATTGAAATGGGGTGCAAATAATACTTTTTGGCCTTAAGGGAATTGTTTATTAAACTCAAGTAGGCTGATTATAACATAAAATATAGTATTTCTGACAATTTTCTTTATAATTTGAGTTATAAATTACAATATTGCAAAACAAGGTATTGTGATATTTAGCTGGTATAATGTCGTAAGATTAACTAATGGTATCGCGACAACCCTTGTACTGATGATAAAAAAGGGTCAAATGCACAACTTTCTCATACCGGTTGTAGTTTGAATACACATAACATACAGTATTTAGCATATTTTTGCAGCTGTCATAGTACAGTGGGGGAAATAAAACAGTGGGCGAAGTATTGAACAGGTCACCATATTTCTCAGAAAAAATATTTCTAAAGGTGCTGTTAACTTGAAATTTTTACCAGATGGTGATAACAACCTAAGAAATACATTTATTAAAAGAAAAAAAAAATCGAATTGAAAAATCGAACCGAACGCAAACACTAAAAAACTGAACTACACTGTTCTAATTAACAATGATCTTTTATGTGAAGCTACTTTGACACAATCTACATTGTAAAAGCGCTATACAAATAAAGGTGAATTGAATTACTTTACAAATCAAGTTATGTGTAAAAAGTGTTGAACACATGAAGAAAGTGAGGTGTAGAAAGGCAGTTAAAGCCCAGACAAGATGAAAGCCCTTCATCAGTGTAAATTATTATTAGCTGCTTCAGTTCAACATCTACATTATCAAGATGATGAAGATGAAACTAGGGTGGACATTTCAGCAAGACAATGATCCAGAACACAGCCAAGGAAACTTTCAAATGCTTTCAGAGAAAGAAAATCAAGCTGTAGAATTGCCCAGCCAATCACCTGCCTCAAATTCAATAGAAAATACAAAATAACGATCAGATTTAGATGGACAAAACCCACACTGTGTATCATAATTTAAATTGTGCAAGCTTATTTCTCAATATTAAATAGTTCAGAAAATATATGTATACATAAACCTGCTGTTAAAAAACTTAAAGAAATTAGCAAAACATTTAAATGTGTACAAAAGAGATTGATTAAAACACCAGGTGTAAACGGGAGTATGTATCTATCATTTTACT